ATAACCTTGAATATGTATATATACATATATCGGTTCGAATCGAAGTTTCGACTATTTTGATTGGCACACAGAAAAACAAAGAAAGTATCTAGATTAGAATCATTGTAGTGAAAACAGTAATAGTAGTATCGAGGGCTAAATAATTTAGTCTAATATTATTCGTAAGAATTATAGTGGAGAAACCAATGAATTCATTTTAGCCACTGTCCCCACAAATCATCCAGATAGATTCCTGATTACTATTGTGCTCTGATCAAGCTCAAAATTTGAAATATACTGATTAGTTCATTTTTTGACCAATGAGTTCAGATGGACGAACAGAAATACCTGGAGATTTCTACACAAATTTTATATCATAAACTCTATTGTAGTATCAAGTTATACCTTTTTTAATGTCATAAATTTTGTTAACTCTCAACTCATGTTATGATTTAGAAAGAAAGGATCAAATTTCTAAGATCATGAATACTAAACAGTAAAAGAGTAAAATAATCTATTTAACAATCTTATTAGTAATTTTATATAGTTGAGATCATGAGTCAATTGAAGTTAGACTACCATGGAAAACCTGGAAGTACTGGAAGGCCAACTCGTCCTATTATGGGACTCCTCATCAGTGCGCATCCACGATCCCACCTCGCGAGATTCGAACCTAGGACCGACCAGTCTCGCGCCAGAGCACCTAAATGATAGACCACTGAGCCGGCATCCAACGGTAATAATGTCTAACTTCAACCAATCCACGAAGTTGAGCAACCATTTCACAAATGTCTTCCGTAAGTTGATATCTCCCAACAGACCTGATTGAACTCCACTGGTTACTGCATCTCACTAGCACTCCAGGAAATACCTCATGGAGCCAGTCTCTAGTGAGCATATGATCATTATCAGAAGGGGGTTTGGTGGAGATTTCAGAAATTTTATTAGTCATCCATTTTAAACTTCAAATAAAAAAAACAACCTTAAATGTGAAAATAATGTTCAAACAAGTCCTAAAAACAATATCTAACACCATATTGAATTTAAGTTACTACTATCAATGAGTTAGAATGTATATCTATCATTTAAGCTATTTAGTCTATGACTCATCTTTTCTAACTAAAATACACAAATACATTATACACACTAATGAGTACATTTATAATTAGAAGAATGGAACCTTGATATTGATTTTACTTACATAAAAGAATCATACTACTTGAAATCTTTTCAAGATAAGTGCTTGATTCAAACTTCCGAAAACAATAAAATTTGGTGAAAGTTGTATGAGTGAAGTTGTATTATATTTATGAAACTGTAAAAAACAAACTTATCTCTATCGTTAAAAATTCTTTGGAAGGGGTTTTGTCGAGATTTAGTACTTTCATAGTTGAAAGCATATACACTAAAACATAAACACCACCGGATGCCGGCTCAGTGATCTAGAGCTTAAGTGCTCTGGCGCAAGACTGGTAGGTACTGGGTTCGGATCTCGCAAGGTGAGGTCATGGATGCGCACTACAGAGGAGTCCCGTGATAGGACGAAACGGCAGTCCAGTACTTTCAGGTTTTCCTCGATAGTCTAGCTTCAATTGACTCATGCTTTCAACTATAAAAATTATTTCCTCTTTTTATTTATTATAGATGATATGAATGATAAAATAAATTGAGCTTTTTTGTGATGCAGAGAAATACATTCTTTCTTAAAATTATCTCTAACGTTACTGTCAAACTCAATGATATTTGAAATGCATAAAAAAATTTTAAAAAACGTAAATCAATAATCAGAAGGGGGTTTTGTGAAGATTTTAGTAATTTTATATAGTTGATATCATAAGTCAATTGAAGCCAGACCACCATGAAAAACCTGGAAGTACTGGATGGCCGTTTCATCCTATTGTGGAACTCCTCAGCAGTGCGCATCCACGATCACGCCTTCCAGTGATTCCGGGTTTTTCATGGTAGTTTAGCTTCAATTGACTCATGAGTTCAACTATAGGAAATTAATACGACAGTCTTGAAATAGAAAAACAAAAACGATATGACTTCATGAGAAAATAACGTTGATTACTTAATTAGGGTAGAATTCTAAAATACTATTTATTCATTCCAATAAATTCATTTGTACAGTTTTCATTTAGGTTACGCATAATAAAATCATTTCTTAGATAAAGAGCTTTCTAATCTGTATTGAGAATCCCTGTCTTATCAAAATTAAACATACTGTATTTAACTGTTTTAGGCATAGATGAATAATGGCTAGCAGTCGAATCCATGACGCGCATTTTGTTCTATTTGGAACTTGTCAGCTGGATGTACCTGCATCTCAGAGTTGATATTCACTCTGGGACTCGAACCCAGTAACTATCAGGAGTCAGTAGCTCAGTGAATAACGCGATGGCCACTATCCATCTTTGCTTACAATGCTTGTGAATTAGGGCTATATCGAAGCAATACGCACAGTATGCACAGTATGCTAATTAGAGACTGACCAGTTGCAGTCCTAACAAATCGATGGAAAGATTCAAACAAACAATACTAAATGTATTTAAATTTGCTGTTTTTTTTTGCATTTAATCAACTCGAAACCTGTAAAAGACATTATATCTGTAAATGAAAAGATAATTTATTGAATGTAAATGTGCCTTAGTCTACTATCAAAACTTTATATTGCAGAAATCAAATATCTGGATAGTTCAACAGTTCTAATGAAGAAAATCACATTGATTCATTTGATGAATTCAGGGAATAATGCAGAAATTAACTGAGCTTTAGTAGAATAAGCATATAATCATACATAAACATACAGAGTATCATTTAACCCAGAAGAACCTTTAAGATGAACAAAAATAAATCTAAATATGCTACAATTTGTGTGATGATCTAATGATATTATCTAAATGTTCAAACCGACGTAAAACCGACTTCATATATGTGATTCATTGGTTAAAAGTGAAATTGTCTGATACGCCTAACTATATTTAGCATGAAACTAATATAATAGAATAAGTGATAAAATGCAGCTCACAAAACATATACAAAACAAATCTATAGTACTTAAAATTAATGACGTAAGTCTTATTCTTAAAACATGATTTCCTGAATTTGCTTAAACGGCATTTTGCTTCACTGTGGAAGCTAAATTCACCTTTATATATATATTATATATATCAGGAAATAACTATTTTTGAGAATACGTTTAAAATATTATTTATAACTGTTTTTTGTTCACACGTGGGGAAATTTTGAAGCATAATTCCAAGCTTCGTTTTTCTGATGCTCAAGGAAACATATTCACATTGGTAGACTTGGTTAATCAGTAATGAATACTGCAGGGAATTGTATACATATGCTTAGGTCCAAATCATCATAACAATCAAATTACTTATAGAAATATTACTGGTAGTACAATTGAAACAAATTTGGAAAATACCAAGTGAGATATGTCTATGAATATAAGGAGTATATCAATTTACATCACTCTTCAAGGAAAAATATGGTATCTCAGAAGAACAAACTAAATATTTTCGAAGCTAAAGAATCATGGCCATTGATATTGGATCATCTAGCTGCGAACTAAATCTAGTGAAGATATAATCACCAATAAGAAGAATAATTACTACACGTGATGATTGATTAATGTTGCTTGCATTATATCACACTTAATAATGATTATATTGTATCATAATGTTATGTAACTTGTTACTACTTGATCGAAAGTAATGGTATATCAGTTTGAGTTCTACAGGTTATTTTTTGACAATACGAACGAATAAAAGATTCAAGTATTCAAGTACAATGTTAAATATTCCTAGTTAATATCATACAGAAAAGTGTAAACATGATATAAAACAACAGAATGTTTGAAAGTTATCTTTGTAATTCTCAAATTGTTGATTAAAATCGAAAGTGTTTTAACATTGTAAAGGAAGCCGAACGGATATCTTTCGTCTCACTTAAATACTAGGAATAATACTTAAAAACTGATAATTTGTATCCCTCGGGTTGAAGAAAAAAAATAACAGTTCCGTATTTTCTTAAGTAATTTTTTATTACAACAGCAAAAGAGTAGCATTTCAGGGTATTCATCAAAATCATTTTTGCCAGAATATACTTTATCTTGGCTAAAACATCATTTGAATTCTGAAAACACTGGACGGCAATTTCGTCCTTGTATAGGACTACTCAGAAGTGCACCTAAAAAGATTCGGGAGTCGGGTCCAGGACCTTTAGTCTCGCTCGCATATCTTAGAATAATATTCTCAGCGGTTCGTTAAAGTAAATATATCAGCCCTACATGAGGTCACTTTATGCCTGAATAGATTGTAGTATCATTTTATTTGTTAAGTCCATATACTTTATCCTAGCTACTGGCCAAGCCAATTCGCCTGTCATGAGTCATATTTTGATCTTGTTCATTATTCGCTTATTAACCTTGACTATACTTTTATATGAGCATATATATGTACACTTCGTATCTTATTCATCATATGTCTGTCACTCATTTTTGTCCGACTATAAATGTTGATTAACGCTTGCTTAAATTGAGTTGGCTTCACAGCCAATCTGCAATACGCATTATCTTTCGCTTCGCTCCGCTCTCGAGTTGGCTTCTCCGCCATCTCCACTGCATGTCATTTATGTTCTGCTCTCATCTATTTACTTCATCGTTCTGATTCCCTGGCCAGATCAATGATTGTAGGAAATATATGTATTCTAAATCCATTCTCGTATTTGACTTATTTAATTCCGTTATTCACCAACGCGGATAAAGTCATTTATTACATACGAGGATAGACAGTACTTACGATCAAAAAGGAATCAGATTTAGGCCACTACAAGATCACTAGTAATGTTTCAGCCTATAAAGTTGAGAGATGCCCGCTCAAATGCAGTAGAGAAGATCAATTTCGTCAACTAGCACTAAACTCAAGTCAAGCAGAGTTTCCTTGCTAACCATATCCACCTACTTTACATCATAATGATATTCTTTGCAAACTACATATTAATAACACACTTACCGCTATAAAAGCAGGATCCATATCATTTTTCACCATATATGTTTGTAACTCATCTATTGTGATAGTTTCTGAAAATGTCAATTAGTCAGTTAATCAATTAATCAATCAATCAATCAATAAGAAGATATCTATTCAAACATACATTAAACGTTTTTAACATGCATAAACAAATCTTGGCCAATCAATATTTGATTGTTATTGATAGGGTGACTCTAATCGATTTACATTAACAATTTATTTATAGCATGAATCACTTCCAAATGTATTTAGAATAAGTAAACAATCATTTCACATATACATATATATTTCTATGGGACAGAATTATGGAATGGTTGGCCTCATTGTGTGGTTAGTTTGGTTTGCAAATACTTGTCTGTAGTTCGGATATTTTAATATCAGTGTTGCTTAATGAATAAATATAGAATAGTACTATTTAAACCTCTGTTAGTTTAATTCGGCTATTTATTTACTCTGAAGAATTGGCTTACATTAGGTCACGAAGCGTCAGAAATACAATTTTTTTCTACTCATTACTAACTTTCTACCTAATGATTAATTTATTTGAAACAATCAAGTTCAACCTTGGCATTGATGTTTGCCATAGTACAAAAATCAACAAACATATTTCATTTGTTTACAATCAGTCACCTAGATGGCAGTATGGGAAGAGTTATTAATCACAGTTTCAGCTTGTTATAAAGACAAGATCAAAATAAATTTTAGTTTAAATTGGTCAGGTAGAAAGTCCCATCTACATCTAAAATCTTTATTTCTCAATATCATTTATTAGTTATCTAGAGGTTGATTGTTTCATTTAGCGTTGAATGTTTTTTATCGAAATCATAAACAGTCCAAGTTAGACCACCATTAAAAACGTGGAAGCATTCAACGGCCACTTCTTCCTATTATGGAACTCATCACCTCTAGAAAACTGAGTTGGCATTCAACGGTATTAGTTTATAACCAAAATCAATGTTGTTCTCAAACAGTATTTCATTTCTACTGTTCACTAATGTGAATGTATGTTGAATCACCTCCTTCCACAATTAACTTATTAAAAAATAATTGTTTCATCAATCAATCCTAGACTATCCATCATCATTGACATTTTTTGTTACATATTCGAAATAAGTGATTTCTAATAGACGACGTTTAGTCGGCAAACTCTTTTTACTGAAATCACCATTTATATTTTAAGAAAATTCAGATAGAGACTGGATTCGAACATGTAACCTCAGGAATACTGATTAAAACAATTTGTCAACAAATCTGAAACCATCTACAGTTAACTTGATTTTGAATTTTTCGATTTCGGATAAGGTATGTCTATTTTTCCATTTATATGGTAGACAAACATCTCTTCAAATTTCTCTACATTATTTAATACGTGAGAGTATAGTCCAATCTTAATTGAAAAAAGTCGTAATTAGCTACTAAAATTCAGCAGAGCTTCAAAAATCTGTTAATAACAATAAAACTCTAACCTGAACGATCTTGATCTATGGCGAAAAACGCTTCTACGAATGCATCCATATTTATCATACGTTCTACGACGGACTAATCCACAATGTGCAGTCAGGACTCTGGAGAGAAATTATTTCAGTTTTTATTACTCTAGACACACGTTATGTCACAGAATAGGAACAGAAGCGTGGTTTTGTTCTCGCCCACGTTTTTGAAGGTCACTTACAAAGGCCAATTTACGAGAGCCAATAAGAAACAGAGAAAAATATATTTAACATTTTGTTCATTTGTTTTTGTGGCCTAGATGAATTTATTTGGCTATCAATTATTAGATATCTGATAGTCCAATCACTGTCGAACTGTAAATCAACGAAAAAATCACCTACGCAGATTATTGTGACTGGAATAGGTTAAATATTAGTTGCTTGAGGAAAAAAAACTGATCGAAATGTATTCTGTCAGCAATTATTGTAGGTACACGTTTTTTTTCAAAAACAGGTAGAAAAAATCAGAATATTTTCATCAGATCATCATCAATTTTTTCAGTGTTTGATATGATGGCCCAAAAACAACGTGTATATTAGGTATATAAAACAAATTTTCTCATCATCGAGTAGTTAGATGTACATCCAAAAGTGTTAAAGCTCTATCCTCAAGTCAAGTTCTGTAGTCAATAGTTCTAATTCACAAACTCATTGTAACCAACATTCATGGTGAATTGTTAGTTGCTCAATTTCGTAGATCGGTTGAAGTTAGGCATTAACACCGTTGGATGCCGGCTCAGTGGTCTATCGGTTGATTGCTCTGGCGCCAGACTGGTAGGTCCTGGGTTTGAATCTCGCGAGTGCAGGATCGTGGATGCGCACTGATGAGGAGTCCCGTAATAGGACGAGTTGGCCGTCCAGTGCTTTCAGGTTTTCCATGGTGGTCTAACTTCAATTGACTCATGATCTCAACTCTATAAAATCATTAAAATCTCCACCAAACCCATTGTGATAAGTATTAGTATATTAGTGGGATATGTATTAAAATTGTTGTTTGGATGTTCTCTCAAGCTTTTCAAATTAGATTTTTAGCTAGTCAACCAAAACTAACATAGTTTTTGGGTCTCATGATTTTAATCAGTGACACAACATCTCAGCTTTTGTTCATTAAATTAAGTCTCTTATGTAAACTCAAGTGAATACATAGAAAATACGTTACGAAAGTAAGGTACATGACTTTTCTGAATTAAAGTTTTTAGTTGCAAAACTACTGTAAACCGTAGTGGCATGATCCTATCAAAAGAGTACGTCGAACCTCTACAATTTTTAGACATATAAACCAAAAACTCTCATACAAAATCCCTTTCAGTAATTGAACCCTAAACTTTGAGATTTCACTTCTAGTAAGTTATTCTTAGACTATTCTGCTGAAAACCAACGGTTCACATTCTCGAAATAAGTCATGATGTAGTAAATTACACTGTTGAGAGAAATATGAGTAGAACAAGTGCTCAGCGTTATCTAGTTTTCGAGATTTTTCTATGTAAAATTAGTACATGATGTTAACCTCACAGTTTCTGCGAATTTCCCATTCTAAAACGTTAATAAATTATATTATTTCATGATACAAATTTTAGTATGTAAGTGCGGTTTTAGCCACTTATTCGAAGTTTGTATACTGAAGCAAGTTGTCACTAAGATTTTAAACTATTAATTATAATTGTTGAAACAAACTGTTCATAATTTTGCCATTCTTAAAGAATGAACCGTCCACTAGGGATCTCGAACCAACTCTGTGCTTTCCTTTTTAGTTGTCGTGAAGAGCTATTGATGGTATTCATGCCTGTATCCTTCAGTCTCTCTCTTTTTCTTCCACCTTGAGGAAATACTTATAGGATATACCTATAAATTTAGTTTAATCATTTCCGTGAAGGGTGCTCTATTTACCTCGAGTATATTTTCCGTATCTCCTTATCAGCAGTCAGCCGGCTTGTTCTCTGTCACAGCAGATTATTATTGACAGAATACCTTTAGATTTTTGGTGATGGTAATTTTCCACGTCCAAACTTCATACAACGGAACACATTTAACGTACTTGTCGAAAGTTCTAACTTCGGTGTTAGAGGACAAAGTTTTGAACTAAAGAAGGTCTTCAGTTGTAAGAATACTCCCTTTGCTTAACTAAACCTCACCAGATACTTTTTGTTTGACAATGACACTCCCCAAGTAATCAAAGACGTTCAACACTTACAGGCCTTTGGAATCAAATGTGAATTGATAAGTGCTCGCTGTTGAGCACTTCTGAATCTTCCTTTCTTCCTTGTGAATGTTGAGTCCTATTTCTGTGGAAGCCACTGATACACCAGCTTTCTTCGTCTTCATTTATTACTATTACTAGGACAGACGAGTCAAGTTCAAATCATCCAGCTGTCTCCAAGGTGTCCAAAATATTTCGTTCTTCCTCTCAAATTTAGAGGTATTCATAATCCAATCAACAGATAGCAAAAAGAGGAAAGGAGAGATCCAACAGTTTTGTCTGACACTAGTTTTCATTGAGAATTGATCAATGACCTGTCTTTCAAGAGCAACTTTGCAATTCAGTACCTCGTGAGATTTCAGTATGATGCCGATCATTTTTACGGTGATCTAGTGTTGAAAATGATTTCATAAGGTTCTCCTATCAGAACTACCGAATACTATCTCATAATTAAGGAAGGTGATGCATAGTGCTCAGTTTTGTTCGATAAATTGTTTAATAATAACACTTATTATCACGATTTGGTCGGAACATGATCTATCCTTACAAAAGGAAGCTTCCTGATCCCAAAGATGGGCACTTCGTGGTTCTTCGTTTCTCTTTCCAACCTGTTGGTTATTGTTCTTCCTCCCAAATATTCCTGAAGAGTTCAAGGAATACTTTTGAAGTTGCCATTATACCTGACTTTATTACCTCATATAGGATCTCAATATTCTGCGCATAGATCTAATTTACAGCTTTGCGAATTTATTTCCCCAACAATTTCCATTAACAACTGTGATGGTTTCATTAATGAATAACTTAATTCGTAAGTCAATTTATGACAGAAAATATGGAGATAAACCATGTTCTAACTGCCAAAATCTTTTTCTATTTGAGAACTTAAACGTGAAATGGTGATCCGAATTAAAATGAACAAAACGTTCACACAATAGGAATGATAAATGAATATAGCAAAAAAAATCTAATCAATACGAATTGGGCGTTATAAGTAACCAAAGCGTCAAACATGAGAAAATATGGAGGAAAACCTAGGAATATCCAGTATATTGAAAAAAAACAGCAAGTCAATCTGGAATAGACACAATTGTAAGTATTTAACATACGCGATTACTATCGTTTCAATAAATACTGCTTCTCTATATAGTTTAATTAAAATGTAACATTGAAAATAGGTATAGCTAACCGATTACATTTCTGGAATGCTGAATTATTCAACATTATCGTGAGTACAGTGGTCAAAAAGCACTCTCACCACAGAAATTGAAATTTCATAAGGGTTCTGTAAACTGTTTACAAGTCAATCTATTGTAGTTTATTCTATTACAGTCAAGGAATAATGAGTGGTGTGACTTTATGTTTAACACTGTAGGGCCAGTGAAACGTCACTAAGCCCTACCCAAATCATCCGGCAGTTCGGTGAATGAATGTCAAAAAGATCGTCGATCCCTTTCAAGGTCATGGAAACAACCAACGTGCATTAATTAATCGCACGCCATGAACTGGCCCGTGCGGTGGTGGTTTCACTAACTTCTCTGTACTCATTCATACTGATATGTTTTCATAACAACTTCGTGTTCTACGGTCTTTAAAACAGCCATGGTACCCTGATACATTGAAGGGGTAATCTGAGTTAGTTGCTGACCGCGAGATGTGACTTCGAAGTTTACTGTTGATCACACCATTCCCGTCAAACTCGAGTAGTCCCCCAATCATTCAACATAGATCATCCACGTCGGTGATCTGCAGTATTTCTGAATCCATGACAGTTCAAGGTGTAACCGGTGAATGAATTAACATCGATATGTGTTTTATTTTGTGGAAAGAAAGTTTTCACGAAGCATAATATTTCGTTGTTTTTCAGGTTTGTGGAAATCAATCAACTTGTAGATAAAAAGATAAGTAGAAATGACATATTACTGGGAGTCAAACCCTGAGCATTCGACAGAGGCAAGTCACCTATAAACTTTAACACAAATATTCACTAATCAACACTTGAAAATATCATTTGGACTAATTATTTTACAGTCATTATCGATTTCAAATAAGTTCAGTGGGCTGCTATCCTTTTCTCTTAAATCTTATGTAATCTAGAATCTAACCCTCCATCAGGTACATAAAATGCACAATGACACATGAACACACAAACCAATCAAAACAGAGCAGTACATTGGTAAGAAAACTAGCCACATGGTTACTCTTTATTCGCTCCCAACAATACTGTATTTTTAGATGACATTTCACTCTTAGCCTAATTACCCGTTTGTTGACTGGTTTTTAAAAAACAAACCGCGTACTTACTTACTTACCCCTGATACTCTTCATGGAGGAGCATAAGTCGACCACGATCACTTTCTATCCAACCCTATCCTGGCCAATTTTTACCAGTTTTTTCCAGTTTATATTCATCCTTTTGATGTCTGCATCCAATTCTATAAGTGTTATGTTCTTCGGCCTTCCTCTCTTCCGTTTCCCTTCAGGATTCCAAGTTAGCGATTGCCTCGTGATACATTTTGGTGATTTCTATAATGTATGTCCTATCCACTTCCAACGTCATTTGCTAATATCCTCTCCAGCTGGCAGCTGGTTTGTCCTCTCCCATGGTAGACTGTTGCTGACAGTATCCTGTCAATTGACATTTAGTTTGTTGTGTAGAAAATTGTTTATAAATACTTATACCTTTTCGATGATGTTTGTAGTAGTATTCCAAGATTGAGCTCCGTACAGTAGAATTGTCTTGACGTTTGTATTGGAGATTCTCACTATGATATTGGTTGACAGTCTTTCTGGTATCTCGATAAGGTATTCTTCTTACCAGTTCATTGGCACTTGTTCCTCTTCCCAAATCTTCTTGAATGGAAGATGAAACATGTTTGCGATTACTTCAATGTCTGACTTCAGTGCTTCACCCTGTATATTGTCAGGTTCAAACGTTTTCACATTCTTGATTTATCTGATAGCCATCTTGATTTCCTCGGTCGTTGATGGAGTGACATCTATAAGTAGGTCTGTGTGTGCTGCTTTGATGTCCAATGTATTCAATGGAGCAGGTCTATTCAGCAGTTCCTCGAAGTATTCTACCAACTTTCTCCTCTATTCTCGAATTTTCGTGATTATCTTTCCTTCTTTGTCCTTGACTGGTCTCTCCGGTTTGGTATA